GTTTTGAAAGTGTAGTGATGTGTGATTTTGAAATTAGGCAAGTGTTTTGGTTTTGCAAGTTGGCAAGTACTTAAGAGCGATCTATCCTAAAGTTCTCAAAGGTTTTGTTATGTTTTTAACCCTTTTGACAATTTTGTTCCACCATTGTATTTGGTGGACAATCTTGTGTTAGGATGTGAAAGGGACAGGCGCGGGTCATCGTTTTAGACCATAATTGCAATGGTGCCAAGTATCTTTGGGCATTTTCCTTAAGGGACTTGATCATTTTTAGACAACTTTCGAAAGCGTCATCGAGGGACTATGATCATTTGAATTGTGTTTGTTTTGCCCAAAGAGACCTAACATGCAATATGGCCCAATTTTGAAAGGCAACAAGTGGATATAACCCTAGGGGTGTTAGTGTGCAAGTGTGTTTTATTGCATACAAGAGTTTTTTCTTTGAATTAGGTTTTTCTATTTCATTGATTTTATCTTGTCATACACGTCCTAATTACTAACAATAAGAAGCGGGAATGTAAAATCCTACGCTATTACAATAGTTAGGGGAGGGGGATACACATTTGTACATGGGGGGTTCAACGAGAAAAATAGACAAAAAAAAGAAAATAGCGAAAAACAAGATATATATAGAGAGAGAGAGGGAGCTCGCGCGCTGTTGGGAGGCCATCAGAAGTTCTGACCCAGATTCGCTGTCAGATGATCAACCTGTTGGTGAAACTGGATGAGTCAGAACTTCTGACTCTAGAACCTGCAAAACAGAACTTGGTTAGTGGGGAAACCAGAAGTTCTGATTTCCCTGCGCTGCAAGACAGAAGTTTGTTAGTGAAGAACCCAGAAGTTCAGATTCTGCTGAAAAGGCAATGACTCTCAGAGGTTCTGATGTCATTGACAGCAAAACAGGCTTCAGATGTGTTAACGTCAAAGTCAGCACTTGGCTTTTTCCTGCACTAATCAGAACATCTGCAATCCTGTTGTTACTCCACAAAACAGAAAACATATTTGGAACAGATCCAGCAAAATAGCAAAATGTCTCAGAGGTCAGAATCACCAAGGTCACAGGCAAGTCCTAAACTGGCTCAGAACGTTCTGAGGTATGAGAGTCCTCAGAACATAAACAGCAATAACATGAATATTTACATTATGTTACTTGAATATGCACAGCTGATGATGTTTAACAGTGTGGTGAGGGTCAGCAGGTGCTTACCTGACTTTCTGGAAAATGGTGGGTGAAAGTTAGCTTTTGGTTCTGGTGGTGTTCTGGACAGATTTGGAAAAGGGGAAGTGAAGGTGTATACGTGTATAGGGTCAGGAGTTTGGAAAGAACGTTTTTGGTTTACAGAAAAGAGCTGGATGTTTGATGAAGTTGAAGGTAAGAAACTTAAAGTTATGAAACAAAGCTGGAGATTTTTTGGCAGAGTTTCAGAACGTTGTGTTGCTTAGGAGTTTGGTTTCTCTCTTAGCAATTTTTTTGTTTCTCTTCTTGAACGTCTTTTGCAGTGGTGAAAGCTCTCTATTTATAGGCAAAGTTCTTGTGGATGCCTTGAGCATTTAAGGCGCCAACAGAGTTTGAGTCTTTGTTCTTTGACAGAAATTCCTGGGAAGTTGTGATAACAGCTATTTTTCAGCCTAGGTAGCAGCAGCAGGCGTAGATTGGGGGAAGTGACCTCTGAAATGGGCGGTGGCGTGAAGACCCATGCCAGAATCTGTGCAAAAGCATTTTCCAAGCCACACGTGAACGCTCAGGAGTGGTTGGAAGCATTAATGGGCATTAAATGGTGACAAGACCTGTCAATACCAACATTCTGATTGTTGAATCAGCAGCGTAAACCATGCTCTGGCCTTGGCTACCTGTTGTCTGGAGATTCTCCTGGTTTTCTGGTACGTTCCTTGGATCTACTTCTGGACAATCTGGACTTAGAGATTATGTATCAATGTGGCACCTATCCCTCTGACCTTCCATCTTCTGATTTCAACCTGTTCTGAAGGAGCCTTTATACCTTCATGTTTCTCTTGCATTCCTTTAGCAAGTTCTGACTGAGCTTGTGTAACTGCTGAAGGGGCATGTTCTGTTTGAGGCTTACACTCTGAACCACGTTTACAACTTCTGATTGAACTGATGTAGCTGCTGAAGAGCCAACTTCTGACCATGCTGAGCCAAACTTGCAACTTCTGACCGTCTTCATCTGGAATGGGTCCAGAAGTTCTGAAGCGCTGATTTTTCTAAAAACACTTATTTTAAAGAAACATTCTAAGCACTTAGAATTTGATTTTCCTCGAGATGAAAGCGTTGTTTCTGGATCTTGTGAGATCATCTTGCTCTTGTAAGTGACTTGCTTGGGCAAAAGGATAACTCAGGACTCGGATTTGTTTCAGGGGATTTTGAAAAAATCTAAGATGGTTTCCTGAAGAAAGGGAGGGCGAATTTTGGGGTACAACACATAGCATACCTCAGTTTAGAGGAAAAAGAGTCAACCATCCTAGGCTTCTTCTACCTCTAGACAAGTTGATGCGGAGGCGACTTCAAATTCTAGAGCTCATGACTTTTCACCTTCTTCGTCCTTCTGTAGAAGGCGAGGGTCCCCTGCTCATGCCTCCCCACCTCCATCTTCACGTATATCCATGAGTTCACCTATTCAAGTACCTGATGCAAGAGAGGCATCAAAAGCCCATACGACACCAGAGGCACCTGAGGCATCCCGGTCCTAGGTAACACCTGACGCATCCCAGGCCCAGGCGAATGAGGTGACACTTCAGGATTTTAGAGGAGGCCCGTCATACTTATCAGTACATTCCCAGAGATCCTTTTGTGTCCACTCCTCCCATTGTGAAACGCAAAGATATGAATGTTATGTTTGAATATTATGTTAATCATCTAGTATCAAAGAAGGCACGAAGTACCATAACTAAGAATGACTGAAGTTACGTAGACAATTACATCTGATGGTTCTTCCGGGTGTCACATCCTTATATGGTATAAAATGCTCCAGGAGATTCACTTAGGTCAACTCATCAGAAGATACTAGAGAAAAAACAGGCTATGGCAGATCATACTCATGATGTCTTGCCTATGTGTCGTCGTATCATACAGATTGGGCAGGCGAATATTGACAAATGACTCTTTTCGGATGGCTCTGAGACGATGAGCATTGTAGATGCCATGATGGTAAAGGCTCGAGAGGCTCTACAATACATGAAATATCGTAGGAACATGGAAAGACGAGGGCGAAGCCGACTCATAGCCCGTCATACGCAGTAGATTATTGTATTTTTACTCTTGATACATTTTGGGTTGTATATTATTTATCGACTTCGATGTCATTTTTGGATTGGATGTGTGTAATCTTGACTTATAACTTTATATATGTCATTTTATTCATATTCTTAATATTTTCGAATCTTATAATACATTGTAACAATTTGATATGAGAATCATTTAAAAAATAAACTGCGTTTATTGTCTGCATAAAATATGTAGATATATCTTAGAGTACTTTACAAAATTGTATCTTCAAAATAATCTAACATTAAATAAAAAATACTTCCAAAATATATTTTCAAAATTGAGGGAGTTTTAAAAATTGCAGAGTATTTTTAGGTATATAAGAGGTATTAAAAGATGAACAAAACTTAGGTACAATTCTTTAGACGTAGTTCTTACTATTTTCTAATGAAAATATGACAAACATACTTAAATATCATTTAAGGAGTGAAAATAAAAACAATTTACATATATATAAGAGAAAATTATACATTTATCATATTTTCATTAGAAAATAGTAAGAACCACAACTAAAAAATATACCTAAATTTTGTTCTAAACTACCAAAATTTTCATTTATACTGATTCATGGAGAGTAGTTTTGTATCAACTTTGTAAAAAATAAATTATAAAAAGGGTCACAATTAAACTTTTTTAAATATGTGGGAGTGTTGTAAAAAATAAATTATAAAAGGGTCACAATTAACCTTTTTTAAATATGTGGGAGTGCTATGGGTAACAATGAGGGTGTCAGGTAAATTCTTCAAAAAGAATTTGAAATACTTTCGGCCGAAAATTTAAAAAAAAATTGAAAATGGAATTGTAATTTGAAAAAAAGAAAAAAAGAATCTACTTTTGAAAATTACTTTAAATGTGTTTCTTTAATTATTTTTTTTAAAAATTAACTTTTGTTTCTTATTTCTTAAATTGATTTTATTGATAATTTTTTAAAACGGTAGAATTCCTCCGTTTTTATGATGTGATAAATAAAATGAATAAAAATGATTCAACAATCTAATTAATTTAAGGTCAATTTTCGGAACAAGAATATGAAAATCCATGCTAAGGTAAGGGTGAAGGGACTGCAAGGTTATGAGATCAGTGGTTGAATCAAAAAGTCAGTATTATTTGAATCTCATGATTGATTTAGAACAATTCATATCACTTATCTATATAATTTGATCTCAATAACAAAATTATATAAATATTAGTTATAATTCGATCTTTAAAAGTTTTAATAAAATTATGATGTCTAAAAATGTTAAAGTTATCAAAATCTAAATTCATTTTTAGTTTAGATAACTTTTTTTTCTTCTTTTAGTCTTGTTTTAGACATATATAATGAGATTTTAATTTTGTATTATTTTCTAAATTTTAATTTTTAAAATGACATTGTTTACCACCTTAAAGAGAAAAAAACAAGCATCTCTGCAAGTAGAAGGGTAAAATGGAGATTCAAGCAAAATATGGGGTAGAAAGAACCGAGGCGAAAATTCCACCCCCTATTGGCATCTTGTGCAAGAAATATCTTCACACAAACAATTAATTTGTTTCTATGCGCCATATCTTCTCTACTTGCCCATGTGGCCATATCACCTCCACGTATGATGATCATCCAGAATCCAGAATATTTTTCATAACAGTTTTGATGACGGTTCTAAGGAATATAATATCCAAATATTGTAACCCAAGACAGAAATTGCAAATTATGATTATTAAAACTAAGTAAGATAAAAAACAGTTAACAAGATATAGGAGGAAGATCATAAGGCTCATCATGGTTTTGTTGTTTTCTGAAAGCACTGCTAGACAAGAGAAATCCAAGAGCATGACCAAGCACAGCAACCAAGAACACGCCTCCATTGAAAGACATAAGAGCCAACATAACCAAATAAGCTAGACCAACTCTCAGTACATGCAACAGCGTCTGAACCAGACCGGCACTTACAGGGTTCGAACCGGGTTTAACAAACCGGGTTCGGGAGAGTAACTCAATGAGAACCGACATGATGAAAACAATGATCAAGGCCAATACATACATACCGGTGTCACCAGCAGGCCAATCGTTGAAGAGAATCAACGCGTCTTTTCCCCAGTAGAATGTCATGTGCATCATGCCGTGTATCTTCGTGGTTCCATTTGATGATGATGATGATGAGTTGTGTGTCATACCATCCATGCCGCCGTGCATGTGTCCACCATCCATGTCGGTGTTCTTCTTCCCTTTGCAGTGAGATCTGAAAGGGTTCTATGCTATTGCTATGGTTTGGTGATTAGTAATAAATGTGTATTTGGGGATTCTGGTGCATCCGTGAATTGATAGTATAGTACAGTTTCGGGTCAAATAGGAAAGTTGAGTCGTGTACTCGTATATCAGATCGTATTGTACTGCAATACTAATACGTAGAGTTTTTTTTATTTAACAAATACTAATACGTGGAGTTAAATCTGATTTTATTGGATGATTGTGCGGCATGAGGCGAAAGTGGTGGTCGCAAACAAAACTAAACGGATATGGAAAACCGAATTGGTTATTACTTAGAGGTATCATGGGTCGCTATAATAAGTCGGTCCCACTCGCATTTATGCATGACTTCGACATTAAAATACCAAGTTCAAATCATAAAGATTTTTTGACACCACAAATTTACATTTACATTTAATATACTGTTCATAATATTTTTATTATTATTTTAAAAGTTGATTAATCCAGTTTTAAGTGTTGTTAATATATTTGAACATAAAAAAAAGTTAATATCATTCAGATTTTGATTAAGAATTTATATAAATTTGATCAATATAATTTATAATTTAATTAATGAGTTTTAAAACATAACAAAATATTAAATAGTAAAATAAAATTTATTAATAAAATATAAAAATTAATTAATATATTTATAATTTAATATCAGAATATAATTAATATTATATATTTTATTAGTTAATGAAATATTGAAAGTGATTAATAAATTATAAATAAAATAATTAGTATTTTTGTAGTTAATATAATTATAAAGTTGATTAATAATATAATCATATATTTATATTATAAAATAAATTTTAAAAATAAATATTTTAAAAAGAATTAATAATTTTTTTAAAATAATTTTTTTTAAATAAAAATATATTGTTCAGTATATAAATAGTGTAAAAAAAATATACAATATAGGTATTTAATGTTAAAATGGAGTGTCAATCTAGCAATGCTTGATCATTTTGGATAAGTTAAAGAAAACTCTCTTCTCACCTCTCATTTCCTAGTCTTTTTTGAATGGATCTGTTGATACCAATATATATGATCAGGTTTTCTTCTTTTTTTAGGCTACCTCTTGCTACTCGTTGAATTAAGTGTTGGGTGGTTTGGCAAGATAATTTATATTCGTGAGTATTCACTCGAATTCGTTTTAAAAAACAATTTATTTTAATTAAAACTTTAATTTAAATTTAGATTTTTTTTCGATAATAAAATATGAGGACGGATCAGATAATAATATCATCAGTATTCATTTAAAACACGTCTCATTTATTTTATTATGTATATTATTATTATTTTGATAATTTAAAATATTTTTTATTTTTATTTATTATTTTAAATATTTGAAATATATGGATGAAATATTTTAATATTTTATTATTTTATTATTTGTCATATATTTTAATTTTGAAAAAAAATAAATATTTTTATTAAAAAGTTGATTTTACAAAATGAATGACAGTGGAATTGTGATATCGAACCCAATCCAAACCTGTTTGGGATGAGTTTGAATTTTAATTATCTATTTTCGATGGAGATTAGGGCCAAAATAAATGAGCAAATTAATTGATATCATGCTCCAAACAATTGGTTGTCCTAAAATTAAACTTTTAGAAGGTTTTAGTAGGAAAGAAAAGATATATATATATATATATATATATATATATATATATATATATATATATATATATATATATATATATATATATATGTTGTAGTTCATTAAGACAGTGTCCTAAAAGTGTAAGGCGTATTTTTGCGGTATCCCAATCAATTGGATATAAGTGCCAATTGATTGGTCAGTACAAAACATGTCCAGATTGTTCTAGCAATTGTCAATTCAACTGACACGACTTTGTAGAAATATTTGT